ATGGTAAACATCTCTATAGAAATGATATTAAAGAAACTTATAAAAAAAGATGAAAAGTGTTTGAAGTGCTAAGTAAAAAAACATGATAATCCTTACTTATGTGAATTCGTGAATATCAGTTTTAAAATGAGAAGAAAAATCTGTAAGTTATTTTTATTAAAAAAAAATTCAATTGGAAGCTAATTTATTTCAAGATTTATAACAATACTCTATTGTTCTATAAACAGTAATTACATGATAGTTTAATGTTTATATGTTGCGTTAATAATCTAAAAAATATACTGCAGCAATGGTGTAAAGTCGAATATCAGAAGCTTTATTTATTTAACATAAAAAACCGAGTTGAGGTGATTGCGTGTTTTTAACTTATTGTAAAAAAATGGATACTGATGAACTTTAAACTTCCTTAATTTAATTTCTAAATAGCTTTTAAATATGTCTCTCAATGGTCTGATTTTTAAGACACGGTTCCGAGCAGATCGCCGAATTCAAGCATCACTGACTGTAGTCGGTGTGAGGATGGGTGACCTCTTTGATCAGCTTGCGAAGGGACTGAGGGAGTGCGATATTGGTCCTCGTTAAACTGTTCTACCGTAAAGTACTCGATTTCACACGCAGTTCGTCGAGCTACCGACAGGGCTCGGTAGGTCATGTCAGAGGTGCCATACCTTCTCTAGAGGATCAAAATTGTGATGGTATGCCTTCGGATCATCCTTAGGGATGTTTCGCAAACCGTCGCCAATAGCCCATAGTACAGCTCTAGCACGACGTAAATAAACTACTACTTTCAAATACGTTAAAATTATTTAAAATAAAATATTAATACATAATTAAGATTACTATTTTTAAAAAAAATACACATAAAAAAGATTTGAGCTCAAATTATGGTACAAAATGCCGGCACTTTGGATGCATCATCAGTAAAATTCATTTTACAGTAATATTCTTTTACCGTAAAATGATATGCCGTAATTTTTACAGTAATATTTATTTGATTATAAGGACTCAGTGATTTTACGGTGATTATTACTGTAAAAATTACGGTATATCAGATTTTTCGTCCCGTCACATGTTCGGGGGAAAAATGGATTTTACGGTAAGAAAGTACAGACACTCTGAGTACCGGTACTTATTACCGTTATTTGATCGGGAATTTTTTACAGTGTTAGTCGATTAATCCATTTATCTTGCTCCACAAAAGGTATTGCACTCGATTCACAAAGTTAAATGATATTTTTTGAACACTAAAAGCATCTTTGGGTGGGCTATATAAACTTAGAAAGTTAATTTATTTTGCTAAATCCTAAAATATAGTTGTATTCAATGAAAGGGGAAAAAAAGTGTTGATAAATAGCTTCCTAATGCTTCTATATATTTTTAAATATTTTTTTACACGAATTCATTAAAATTTTAGTTATTAATATCTTAAATGTCAATTGCAGAATAACCAAATCAAATATAACATAAGAATAAATTCAAAAAATAATTTGTTATTACATTTAGGATAGTAAACTAAAATATTTTTTGCACTTCATTTCCAATAAAACAGTTTGGAGGAGTTTTAAATGAAATAATATGTTTCAACACTTGTTTTTTTCCCTGTAATATGATTTCGTTTAGTTTCAACTATACAGCAATACAATGATGAGATGTTTATCAGAAAACACAATGATTTGATAAAGAGATTTTCTGAATAAATAACGTCTTAAGATAAAATCGATCCAATTTCGGTTTCTTTTAAGATAATTTTCTTGAAAAGAAAAGCGCAAAAGAAGGGTAAATGTTTTCTGATGTAATTTAGCAATAAGAAACTCTGAAAATTTTTAATCTTAACACAAACTTAACTGGTAAAACATCAAATATTTAATTAATCGTCAAATGTAATTTACACTACTTTGTAAATAAACAATGTTTATTTAAAATGTAAAGGCAATATTGTATTTCCAATTTTATATGTTGTTCCAAAAATCTCAAAAACTCAAAATATTTGATTCTTAGGCTGAAAGTTATTTTGTTTGGTAATAGAAAATTTATGTCATTGAAATATATCTTTTATATGTTTACTATATGCTCTTGTACGTGTATTGTAAAATATAATTAATGAGACGTTGTGATTAAATATTGTTCATTAAAATTTCAAGCATCTTTTTATATTTATTTTTGTATTTTGTTTGAGCGACATGTTGACAACCAAAGATGGATGCACGTCTACAAGAATGGATATGATTCTTGGGTTAGGAGTAATTTCGCTTTGATAGTAGAAAAAATTGAAACATATAGCGTCAAATATATAGCACTAGTGGGCTGCGCCCTCTGCTCGCTAACGCTCGCCAACCCCCGAAAATTGCTACGCAATCTTATATGGTTTGCTTCGCANAAAACACAATGATTTGATAAAGAGATTTTCTGAAAGAATAACATCTGAAGATAAAATCTATCCAATTTCGGTTTCTTTTAAGATAATTCCTCTGAAAAGAAATGCGTAAAAGAAGGGTAAATCTTTGTTAAAATAAAACTTTATCTGAGGTAATTTAGCAATAAGAAACTCTGAAAATGTTTAATAATCTTAGTATCACAAAATTAATTGGTAAAACATAAAATATTTAATTAATAGTCAAGTGTAATTTACACGACGTTGTAACTAAACAATGTTTAATTAAAATGCAATGGCAATATCGTATTTCCGATTTTATATGTTGTTTCAAAAATCTCAAGAACTCAAAATATTTGATTCTTAGCTTAAAAGTCGTTTTGTTTCGTATGTCATTGAGATATGTCTTTTAGATGTTTATTATATGTTTTTGCACATGTATTGTAAAATATAATTAACACGATGTTGTGATTAAATATTGTTCATTAAAATATCAAGGCAGCTTTTTATAATTATTTTTGTATTATGTTTGAGTGACATGTTGACAACAAAGATGGATGCACGTCAACAAGAATGGAAATGATTCTTGGGCTGGGAGTCATTACACTTTGGAATAGAATAGTAGAAAATATAGAAATAGTAGAAAAGTTGAAACATATAGAGTAAAACAATATAGCATAATATATAAAAGTAGTCGAAAGTTTGAGCTCGCTGGTGTTAATTTAATTTAGTACATATTTTGTCATATTTCGAAAACTTTTTTAAAGGTCTGAAAAAAATTTTGCAAATGGAAATCTATATTAAGAAGCTCAAACTTTCAATAGAAACTTCTGACTAAACTATTGGAACAATAATTTCCAGAAACAAAAATCAACATTTTTCAAGAAAAAACTTCATTTTTTTCAAGGAAGTTTTAGATCACAACTTAAAATATCGTTCGCACAAATTAATTACATGTTTAAGATTAAACCTTCGAACTATAAAAATTGCATCCTAATTTGAGAAAATCCAAACTTAAAGTCAAAATTTATTATGATGCTCCATTTTTTTATTTTGTGCCCTATGCTTTTCAAAAAATTAAGTTTTCACACAACATACGAATGAAAAACATCATTCTTATGTTATAAGTTCAGTGAATTTGTTGTCGCCAATACTACTGATAATCACGTTTATCTTGTAAACAATTGCGACATACATCTTTAAGAGGTTTTTTTTATCGCTATCAAAGCAATCAAATGGAAAACATCTCTATTTCTTTGCTTTTACTGCCATCTTCTGGCATAAAAAATATTTGGACGGTAATTTCCTGTTTCAGTTTGAAAACAAATCAAAAATTAAGAAAAAAAACTAAAGCTTGTTTGTTTTATACGAAAGATAATCACCTTTGTAAAGTGTTTAGAGACACTTCGTCTGGACATTAATCAATATTATTTCTTCCATTTTTAAAAACATAAATATAACTGTAAGGCTCACTACTATTCATTATATATAAAAATAATTCACTTCGATTTATATTAATTTATTAATACTTAAATTTAACTATAAGGTCTGTTAGAGGATTTGCAAAAATGTCATGCTTTCTCCAATATCAACAATGTGTCAAACAACTAAATTCAAGAAACGATAGATTGTTCTCGAGAAAAAAAAAACGAAGTTAAAACATTTATTATTTTTTAACTTCATGAATTTTGTTACATTAATGACATTAATTTTTTTTTAAATGTTAAATTGTGAAATTTATCTTATTTTTCGACATTTACATCTTGAATCTTATGATAATACATTTTTACCTTTGGCAAGAGTTAATACATCTTTACATTAAAAATTATCAATACGAAGTATCAGAATGTTACAGAAATATCTTAGTTAGGTTTTTTTTCCTTCGGTAAAATCAATTTCGAATTCTCAGCTATTAAGAAATTGCTGTATTACGTATCCTCATGCATTAAACATGAAATGTTTATGATGAAATGGCAGGACTGAATTTCCCTGTTTCATTTGGTATAAACTCATTGGGCGGATAACATTAATAAATTGTGAAACTTATCTTAATAAATTGACAGATGGTAAAAAGATATGTGTATTTGTTTGATTGAGGTCAGTAATCAGTTCCTATTATGTCCATTTCATACTAAGTTCTAATTCTTTAAATAAAATTCATCCAAAAGAAAAACTACGACGTATTTTCCTTCTATAACATTTTTCGTACTTAATTGCAAAAATTATTTTCTGAAATTTCCATGATGCTTTCTTTAGTGCAGTTTTGAGTTCCATATAGTATCCTAACTTAAAAGTTTTTAATCTAGACAGAAACGAACTTACTACCTTCTCTTAAGACTGCCCACACGCTAATGGTGAAAGCATGTGTAGAGAGTAATACCACCTGCGTCCTGTAGTTCATTTCGATCTCCAATACGAGTTTATTTATGACATGGAAATACGTGACTGTAAAATTGGTTGACGGAGTGAAGTTTATACAAAAAAGTATGCTTCCAATTGGTTTTAAATCTAGATTTAATAGGTTTTCGTTTTGATAACTTAAAGGAAAGAGTCTAATTAGACAACATATCTACATAGGGAATATAATAAACATATGTCCTTAATAGTTTAAAAAAGATCTATATATTACCTGATTAAAGCATTGGGTCCTCCATGATTTACATTCTTAGGGTTGTAGTGTCCCCCGGCTGATTGACAACCATTACTCAGATCACCCAAGGCATGGATATGGAATCCATGTTTATGAGCAACTGTGACAGGGGTTTCGTTGTCATCTTCTTTTTGTAGAGATTGTTGAGCATCGTGGTGATGGTGATCACCCATATCAAAACCTTGAAGACGGACATGAAAGTTGAGTGGTCCACCAGTTTTCTGAAGATTGGAAACAATTAAATATTTTAGTGGGCAGTATTTATTATTCCAGACTATCTATTTCAGTTAGCAAAATAATTCTTAAGGAAGTTCACAGTTACATTATAGCAACAAACATAAACTGCGAAGTGGAGGAAAATACGAAAAATGTCACAATCTTCGGTCTACTACACTGTGCATTGAGGTAAAAATGTGAAAATTGTCGCAACGTTCGAACTACTAAAAGGATCGGATTTCACGTTTATAGTAACCCGTGGAAGGGCTTTCTCTCCTCTAGGAAGTATTGGTGGAGCCCCGTTATAGTAACCTGTCTGTGGACCTAGTAATAAATCCACTATAAACAGTGGTTCACTACATTTCAAGTACTTTGAAAGAATAAATTTTTCGCATATTTCAGTATCAATTTTTATTCAAAGATAAAGTTTGACAAAATTCCCTTTTCTTTTCCAACATAGAGGGGGAGGATAAAAAATAGGGATATGCTACTTTCCCTCTTGTTTGTTCCAGTTTAAAAACAAAGAACATACAAAAGTAAGGTTTAACGCGATGTAAAAAAATGCCTCCATTTGCAATCTTAGCTCGTGTAAATTTAAAATTAGAGAATGGGATACATGCAAGTGACGTAGTGTGGGTATCTCGATCCTCATTGGTAGTTAAAACGTGGCATTTGTTAACGTTAGATACTGTTCTTTCCATTCTATTTCAATTAAGCCAAGCACGTCAAGTATCAATTTTATTAAGTGACACAGTCTATATTCTTACACAAAGATTCTTTCTAAAGGATTTAAATTCTTTCTCTATATATTTCTTACTTAATCCAAAACCACGTAGAATATAAACAAACTAATTATGCATCGAAGTTGCTGCCCTCGCAAAACAAAAATATATCACAGTTACAACAAAATACATAAACAAATAATAAATCTAAGTGAAGTAAAAGATGTAGACGAGAGAGAATTATATTTCAACAAATTCGGTGTGCGATACGCCGTTGTATTTAATTAACTTCACGTTTATTAACTTATGTGGAGAAACTTAGCTCAACTTTAACAGGCCACTTTGCTTTAAGCGATCAGCTGGAGCTGATGGCATAGGTGTCATGTGTGGGTCAGTGATCTTCTTGAAGTGCAAGTACCCAATTGAAAAAAAAAAAGTTGAGATAATGTAATTAGAGTCGACTACAAACGAACTACCAATTTTTTAGCAGTCCACAATAAGCGTATAAAATAACATTAGTTAGATGGAAGTTCAGAAGAGACCACTAAAAAAGTTTACTACAACCTAGTATTCACTATATCCCATGTTAATTATGTCGGGACTTAATTTATGTGGTTCATTCCACTATAAATAGAAAAAAGAAGAATTTATATTGAATTTATCAAAACATTTTTAATTAATAATTAAAAGTTTCAGCACTTCTCTGTATTTATTATTCTATCAGTTTAAAAGGATTAATGGAGCGTGGCCAACATATCAATATATATTATAATCAACACAAAAATAAACCTTCGAAATCTGCGAAAACAAAATTGAGAGAAATTAAAATAACGAAATCAAATTACAATTAACTTTAAGTGCAAAGAAATTTTTTATGAGATTAGTCCTTATTTAAACTCGATGTAATATAGAACTAAAATGAAACGAATAACCAAACGATTTAAAATAAATTGATAAATTCCATTAAAAAGAAAACGATAAACTTATCACCTATGTGTAGTAATTAATTTTATTGTCGCAGCGGAAAAAGCTTGTATCAAGAAGTGTGATGAATATCAAAATGAATAGCTTAAAATAACAGATATCTTACTTTTTGCCAAAGATTAATGCGTCCCACGATTTCTTGCTGCTGATCATCGGGTATTGCTCTATTTGGTTGAACATTACAGACAGCAAAATCATACAACATGAATTCTGAAACTATGGAAAGAGATCATGGTACAAATATGTACAAATACAATTATGTACATAGTACAAATAACGAGAAAATGATACAAATTTTGATTATTTTGACTTAAAAATATTACTTATTCTACATGTGCTAGTTTGATCACTTTTGTTAATGTTTTTTTTTTAATAATTAGTAGAGTTTCAGATTTATTAGATTGTGTAAATGAGTAGACCATTTTTAACATAATGTATATCAAATTAATCAAAAATCAAGGTGTTCTTTTTAATTATTGAAAGTACATTTAAAATTCAATTTTCGCTAACTTAAAATCTTATTTTAAGACTACATTTTAAAGTTGAATAAAATGTTTAAGGTAAAACAACGAAGAAGAAAAATTTTACAAACCAAAGAAGAAAAGCTCACATAATATTCTTTGTTTTTAAATTATTATTATTTTCTTTTCATTACTCTCTCATTACTCTCATTTTATTATTCTCCAATTTCATTACTCTCTAATTTTGAAATTCTAATGAAATGTAATTTAATATATTAAAATTCTAAATTCATGAATTTTATAAAATAAAAACATTAAAATTTCACTTAGCGTACTAACTATTTCTGCGAATTAAGTCTTATTTTTCTTTTCTTTTCTTAAATGCTTTAAAATGGAAATAAAAAGTTTTTATGCCAAATTATACAGTTAATGCACTGCAAATTTTCAATTATAAATATTGCTTTTGAAAGAGATATGATATATTGAGACATTTTTTGATAAACAAAATATTTTACGAAAATATTTCTAAATTGTGACTCTTTATAAAGCGAATAATGAAATATTTCTCTTAGAAAATATTGTCGTAGGATACAGATTACGCCATGATTACGAATACACGATTCAATAAAATATTTATTCACAATAAGAAAATCGTCTTTCATTTTCACGAAAAGAAAGAAATTATTTTTAAGCGTCACGTACGGTACACGATTTTCCAATCCAGCGGCATTTAATGACCTGCTCACCTGTTTTGCATTTTCTTAAACAAAAAAAAAACTTATTTTTTGACTTTTTTTAGTTACTTTTTTTTTCAAATTTTAAAAGTAAAATAAATTTTAAAAGTTAAATTATCTTCAACAACAAAAAAAAAGAAGACCACAACTCGTTAAAGGCCGCTGGATTATGAATCAGCGAATGCGACAAAATTCAGGAATCACTCATCAGTTTCAAATTCGGCAAAAGTTCAAATTTTTCATAATGAATATTATTTGAAACAAATTGTAATGCAGAATATTTAAACTTGTTTTTTTTTGCAATTTTAATATTTTTTAAAATAACTATAAATTTAGTAAAATTTAGTATAGTAAAATGTTAGTAAGTTTGAACCTAAGAGAAACGTGAAAAAAATTATTTCAGACATCGTTGAAATAATTTCCTTATTTCTATATTTATATTAGTTGAATATGAAATTCAATATTAATTCAACAGTAAACGTAATACACATTTTTATTGCATTCAGGATCATATTTTTTACATTAAGGAATTTCCGAAATATGCACAAGGAAAGTAAAAAATAATTTTTTTTCCTATGTTATAATATTAAAAGAAAAATGATATTAGTTACGTATTCTGTTTGATCAAAAAATTAAAAAAATAAATAAAATTAAAAATAATAAATAAAATTAAAAATAATAAATAAAATTAAAAATAATAAATAAAATTAAAATTAACAAATAAAATTAAAAATAATAATTAAAATTAATAAATAAAATTAAAAATAATAAATAAAATTAAAATGCGTTATAACTTACATTTAGGTATTTCCACTGTTCGATTGCGTTGAGTTCGACTGTGTGAATGCTGATGATGATGGTGGTGACTGTTGAAATAATTATCAGTGATTAGTTGCAAATTACTACTAGCTTGGGCCAGATGGGGTTGTTGGTGATGGTAATGCTGCTGTACACTGGTTGGCTGTACTAGAGGCTCTACCATGGAATCAGGTCCTTGTTGAGCTTGTTGCAAATTGTCATTTTTTTCATGGGAGTCGCTGTAAAATAGTATAAAACCTCATTTCAAACAAAATATACTTCTTTTTTGAGAAAAAAATGCAGTAAGCAAAAATTAAATTTTGTTACTTTAAGGAACTAGTTTATGTTTTATTCACAATTTTGTTTTGTACTCTTCCTTAAAATGTCATATTAGTTTAATATGCTAAATTTAAATATTTCATCGTATCTTAGAACTATGAACAATTTTAACTTTCAAACTGTGATGTGCAGTGCGCAAAATAAACAAAAACGGTACACCCTCAATAGCTTTTGGTCTAATGATCTTAATTGTTCATGGACCTGACCTCAAATATGTTAATTAATTAGACACAAAGACATACTTTCTCTGAATTAATTTTTTTTGTTGGGGGGGTGTGGATTTGCAGGGCCTGATTATCGCCTAGGCCCAATAGGCTCGGGCCTAAGGCCCACACTTTCCGGGAGGTCTCAAAAATTAGTAAAAAGTTCACAACATTATTATTTTTTTAAATACAGAAAGAAACCGTTTTTCTCAAAAAAGACATTTTTTTAATTTCAAATTTTCTTTATTTTGTGATAAACCAAATTCGTGTAAACATTGCACTAATCAAATTCGAAAGTACAGCTGAATTTTAATTGATAATTTTTACAGCAACGGCTTAAGCAAATGCAACGAGAATGCACATTCGCAAAGTCTCTTATAAATGATTAGTGTCAACACGAACTAAAGGCTTATTCTTAACAAATATGTAAAGCTGTAGATGGAAGTCTACAATCTTTAAAATAATTCAGCTAATCAGTGACTTTTAGCAAAAATTACTGATTTCAATTGTTTGTGATCACCAAACTATTTTTATTTTAACATTGTTTTATTATTTTATATTTTGCTTTAATATTTTGATGCGTAAACATTATCTTAGAAATATAATCTTCAATTGTATGCTTTCAAAATTTTTTAGAATGTTTCTCTTGAATCATGCAATTCAATAGATTATTTTTATTGTTAGGACTACTCTTCAGAAATTTAATTTCTAAGTATTTTGTTAGGGGCCCGGAAAATTTTGTGGGCCTTGGTCCTGAATTCATCTTGATCGGTCCCTATGGATTTGGATTCTTGACTTCCATTATATAAGGTAGAGATATAGCCGCAGTGTGGAAAATATGGCCCCAATACTCTGGTCAGAAAAGAGTTCTGAAATGTGCACCACTTTATATTACTTTTCAATTTTGCTTATTTCGCCATATCTCGAGAACTTTTTAAGCGAATCAAAACGTTTTACACAAAATTATGAAATTTGTGTATCTAAAGTTAGTTTTATGCAAAAAATAATTTTTAATAATTATTTACGATTATTTTCTATTATTATGTATCACTATTTTTTATTATTTTATTTTATAATAATCCTAAAAATTCTGAATTGCAAAGTATATAAATTTTTACATCATTATAAAGAACGTAATTTTAAATGGTAAAATACAAAATTTCACCGCGTGATCGGTCAAAAGTAGTTTCTGAGTAATTAAATTTTAAAATATTTGTGTATTTAAAGTTTGATTTTTTGAGACTATTCGACCTATTTCCTTCAAATTTTGGAATATGTAATGTGAAATTAAATTTTTTTAAATATATGTAATTAATTATAGTTATTTTATTATTACGAAATTTTTCACTATCTCTAAACAAAATTTTAATAAATATCTATAAAAAATCAATTTTCGCTTGTAATTTTTTTTTTGTATTAACTATTTTTTTCATTATGTGTAAAAAAAAATTTATTCGAACTTTCGTCTGTTACCTAGTTCAAACTATCGGGGCCATATTTATAGCTAAGGTGAAAAAAACATCTTCAAATTTTGAAGACAGTTCTCGAATTTTAATAGTTCTGCTCAAAACCTTTCAAACTTTTTGAGAACTGAAAATGTAGTTAAATCTTAACATGTCCTCAAATTGTCTTGAATTTCTCCAAAAACATCTCATTATTTCTTATACTGTGAAATATATATATATATATAGATATTCATTTAAAAAAAAAAACCAGAAATGTGTATGCCTCTAAGATAATTTTGTCTTACATGGAATTCAAGCGAGAAAGTACCATACTGAAACTAATTGATGAAAACTCTAACTATGTTCTCATTCATTTTACAAGTGGTAAACAAATGCAAAATATGATATACGTCAAAACTGCTTAGATATGAAATAGAGTTTGATGGAGATAGTTTTGCACCTGATGTTAGTTATAATTTTTTTTTTTAAGTCTTTGCTTCACATATAAATTAATAGCTTTCATTAATACTCTTATATGGGTATCTTCGAATTGCAAAATTTTTCAAGGACTCTAAGCTAATTTGTCCTCAAATCATGGTATACAAATCTGGTCACCTTATGTATAGCATATATGCAAAGAATATATAGAATAATTGTTACGTGAAAGAATATAAGTAATCAATACCCATGTTGGTGATTATCTCCCTCCATGTCATGCCCAGAATGTGAATGTGAATGAGAGGATGAGCTGTGGTAGTGATCGTGATCGCTGCCGTGGGAATGTTCACCACTATGATGATGATCATCACTTCCACTATGAGAATGTGAATCATCGCTATGAGAATGTGAGTCGCTACCGTGATGCTCGCCACTATGTGAATGATCACTACCGTGAGAATGATCACTACCGTGGGAATGATCACTACCGTGGGAATGATCACTACCGTGTGAGTGTTGTTCTCCACTGTGGTGGTGGTGATCATCACTTCCATGAGAATGTGAATCATCTGAGTGTTGCTCTCCACTATGATGATGGTGATGATCATCAGTATAAGCTCCAGGAGTGCCTCCGGTGCCTGTAATAACAGAATAATAAGCACATCAATAGAAATGAACCCTTAAGGTATCAGACTGGGTTCGACACAATTTTTTTAAAAAAATAGCCTTTATTAAAATGTGTAAATTATTATTATTATTATTTTCTTCAAATAAGGGCAAATTTGAGCATAAAAACTAAAAACAATTTTGTCACACTAACAGCTTCCCAACAAATTGTAATGCATAAATGTAAAAATAATTGTCTTTTTTTCTCATAACCATCATAGTGGAGGCAATATGCAGTGGATCAATGCAATACTAGATCAATAATATGGTAACTAAGTGGAATATGGTTACTTGAATTAAAATCTTTAAAAAATTTCAAATATACAATGAAATAGAATTAATAATACTGTTCAAAATTGATTTTTAAAAAAATCTAAATATTCTTGTCTAAAGCATAATAAAAATAATAAAATTACGATCAGACATTAGCTCTTAGTTCAAAAGATAAATAACGACTTTATACAAAGTTTAGGTACACATTTTCTTAAATTTTTAAAAGAGATTTTCTCAAATTAGTGTCAAGAGATTTTCACAAAATCAACCCCCCCCCCTTTTTTTTTTGAAAATGCGTTTAAAGTATATAATTTCCAAACACTTCTGCCNTTGAAAATGCGTTTAAAGTATATAATTTCCAAACACTTCTGCCAGCATGAGGGAAAAAAAACTTTAACTTAATTTCTAAAGACCGGAGAACAAAAAATAAGGAACAAAAGTTCAAATATAGGCAGTAAAAAAAATTTCAAAATCTTTGTAGAAATAGCTGCATTTCACTCAGTTGGATACTTTAACTGTTTGAAACTGCTTAAGGAATGGTATAAGTTAAAAACGAATATAATAGTCAACTAAATAGATGGCTAAGTTTAACAAGGTAACGCTTAACATGTTCAGTAAAATTTCTCTTTAGAGAATTTCATTGCTTCGAAACCATAGTTTTTTTATGTGTTATTGTACAGGATACAAAATAAATTATAACAAAAGAAAGAATATAAAAGTAAAGATGCAGTCAAAGAGTTAATTTTTTTACAAAATAAAGAGATGCGACCTTTTAAATATGTTATAATATTTACTTAATTTTGCCTAAGATAACCATTTTGAAATAACGAATAATTTTTTTAGTTCCGATTTAAACATTTATATTACTCATTTCTTCACGAGAAATTAATGTATTTTACTTGTTGAATTAGGTTCTTCGCTGTTCATAAAATACTAAATAATTGGTTGTGTGTTGACATAATTAGTAGTTGAAAGAATGACTTCTAAAACTACTTTTACACACTTATCCGTTAAATTATAGCTCCGAAATCAAAAAAACGTTCTGTTTTCTGAAAGTAAAAGATTTAATTCGTAACATTTACACATAATACACTTAGGATTTTGCATGCACCAAAAAATTTAATTATGAGTTTAAAATATATTTTTTTGTGCTGTAATCATTTAAATATACTGCTCAAAACAATTAAAAGGTATTGAGGTTGTGGGTTGATCTTGCACCTGGAGAATTGTTTGAATGATTTTTACAATATCGACAGGCTATATGAGATAAAAATGACATTTGTTTGGCAGAAAAATGCGGGGGTGGTAGGCGTCCCGCAATTCATCTGCCTAGAATGTCCCAAACATGCTTCATTGGGTTCATGTCCGGAAAACACGCTGGCCAATCCATTCATATGATTCCTTCCTCCAAAAGAAAATCATTCCCCAAGTTAACACGATGTGGTCTGAAATTGTCGTCCATTAGCATGAAGTCATCTCCTGTTACTGCAGCGTAAGGAAACCGAAGTCAAGCATCACTGGCTGCGGTCAGTGTGCGGGTGGGTGACCACTTGGATCAGTCTGCGTAGGGACCGAGGGTGTGCGGTATTGGTCCTCGTTAAACTGTGCTACCGTAAAGTGTTCGACTTCGAGCGCAGGTCGTTTGGCTACCGAAGCGGGGGTGCCACCCCCTCCGCAGAAGATCAAAATTGTGATGGCATGTCTTCGGATCATCCTCCGGGATGTTTCCCAGACCGTCGCCAATAGCCCATTGTGCAGCTCTAGTGCAACGTAAATCAACAACAACAACAGCAGCGTAAGGAAATACAATAAGTCTTAGAATCTCATCCCTATATTGGCCACCGGTCAGAGCTCCATTTCGAATGATATCGAGATCGGTGCTCCCATCAATGGAGATGCCAGTGTAGACCATCACTCCCCCACCTCCAAATCTTACACTTTCGACTTCCGTGCACGAACGCATGATTGTTTCTAGTGCCACATTCCCTCCAAATAAAAATAAGCCTATTATCAGAATGAATAGAAAAACGGGATTCGTCAGAGAAAAGAATATTGCGCCATTTATTTCTCCTCCAGTTCACATGCTATATTGTCCGCACCCTACGGGTGCGATGGAGCCTTGCTGTTAACGTGACACAGACTATTGATCGGTCAGCATACAGACCTATAGTTTGTCTGCGACAAGAACTCCCCCCTCTTCAAAGTCTGAGTCCGTCAGCTGCTATGGAAACAAGAATAGCGCATTTCGGGGAGGTTAGCTTCTCTTCACTCTAGGGCTACCACAATAAACCAGAAAAAAAAAAGATTCTCTTTCGCCCGCCGATCAGAGTCAAAACCTATCCTAAACAATGACCTCACACCCCTACTTGAAATAGTTATACCTCGTTACCATAGTCATTACCACGGGTTCAGACGAATGGCTAGGAGAATTCTTACTCTAGACATATTATACCGCGTGAAGGAGGTTTCGGACAGTTTGTGTTGAAACTGTGGTGCCAGTAGCCGAGTGAAGGTGTGGTTGAAAAAGAGTGACATTCATATTTAGGTGTCTCCATTGGTCGGAGCCGTTAGCGTTAAATAACGGGATTTATTGGGCGTTGTTGCACGTTTGAGCTCTTGAGCTGATCTTCGGTCTGCATTTCCAGATGCTGGCCTATGGTTCCAGATCCTGAAAGTCACATTTTGTGAAACTTCGATGAGTTCTGCTACTTCGGCTTGTGTTTGGCCCCCTCTTACCGATCAACAGCTCTCCAAGCTTCTGATTCGGTTAAGTGATTTCGTAGAGAGATTGTACTCATCGAAACAACGCGCTTACTGAATGTTGATTATCCCATTGTGCAGCTCTAGTGCGGCGTAAATGAACTACAACTACAATTACTGAATGTCGATCATTCTTTTCCGCTTTGTCTTACATTAAGTTGAAAGCCGAATCGAATAAGTTGCCGCTTTAAAGCGTGGTCTTCGACGTCAAACTCAAAATTTACATACCCAAGACAAATTTTATGATGGTTTTTCTTTGATGGACCAACATGAATATGATGGTAACCATCATGAATTTCCATCAAAAACCATCATATTTTATGATGGTACCAACAAGACTGACCATCACCTCATATTAGGAATTGGAACAAATTTATGTTGGACCAACATGAACAAAACCACCATAGTATGATGGTATTTTCCGTTAGTCCAACAAATAAATCCATCAAGAACCAACATGGTTTGATGGTAGTTTTTGATAGCCCAACCTAAAAATTAATCAGGAACCAACATATGTTGTTGGTCTCAACTTATATTCCATCTTAATTCCTGATGGTACCAACAAGACTGACCATCACCTCATATTAGGAATTGGAACAAATTTATGTTNTAGACATATTATACCGCGTGAAGGAGGCTTCGGACAGTTTGTGTTGAAACTGTGGTGCCAGTAACCGAGTGAAGGTGTGGTTGAAAAAGAGTGACATTCATATTTAGGTGTCTCCATTGGGCGGAGCCGTTAGCGCTAAATAACGGTCTTCGTTAAGCTTCTTCGAAGCCGTTGACGTTAAATAACGGGATTTATTGGGCGTTGTTGCACGTTTGAGCTCTTGAGCTGATCTTCGGTCTGCATTTCCAGATGCTGGCCTATGGTTCCAGATCCTGAAAGTCACATTTTGTGAAACTTCGATGACCTCTGCTACTTCGGCTTGTGTTTGGCCCCCTCTTACCGATCAACAACTCTTCAAGCTTCTGATTCGGTTAAATGATTTCGTAGAGAGATTGTACTCATCGAAACAACGAGCTTACTGAATGTCGATTATCCCATTGTGCAGCTCTAGTGCGGCGTAAATGAACTACAACTACAATTACTTAATGTCGATCATTCTTTTCCGCTTTGTCTTACATTAAGTTGAAAGCCAAATCGAATAAGTTGCCGCTATAAAGCGTGGTCTTCGAAGTCAAACTCAAAATTTGCATACTGCGAAGTCTTAAAATAAGAAAAGTTTGCATTTGTGACACTCTTCTTCCATTTTATACACACAAAAAAAATTTGCTTATACCGTTATTTTATACAAGATTTACAATATCCCTCAATTGTTTTGAGCAACGTGTAATGTTAAAGTCATAAATCGAAAGTTCCGGTATGTTTTATTTTAAATGTTTTATTCTAGTTTCAAATTTCAGCTCATTAATATTTTTAATTAACGGTAAAAAATAAATGGAAACTAAATATATAGTTAATCATATCTTGTCGCGTAATTGGAGTCAGTTAAACATAAACCATAAATTTCAATCATTATTAGTCCCGCAGTGGACTGATCGTTAAGACACGGTTCCCAGCAGATCACCGAAGTCAAGCATCACTGGCTGCGGTCAGTGTGCGGGTGGGTGACCACTTGGATCAGTCTGCGTAGGGACCGAGGGTGCGCGGTATGGGTCCTCGCTAAACTGTGCTACCGTATAGTGCTCGACTTCGCTACCGAAGCGGGGGTGCCATCCTCTCCGCAGAGGATCAAAATTGTGATGGCATGTCTTCGGATCCTCCTCCAGGATGTTTCCCAGACCGTCGCCAATAGTCCATTGTTGCGACGTAAATTAACAACAACAATCATTATATCAATTTAGTCTTCTCTTTCTAATAAATTATTTTGCTTTCAGATAAACAGATGGCGCCACAGTAATTTAAAAAGCATTAGACCCATTTTTGACGTGTTTTAAGGCCATTTGAGATTTTTCAGAAATGCAAACAAAATGTTTTATTATTAATTTGCAGAAAAGAGGATATTTAAAAATTTATGAAAATAAAGACGTTTAGAGAAACGTTAAAACGTCAACTATCATTTGTGCAGCTTTATTTTAAGGTGACAAAAATTTCCAGCAAGACTTTAATAAATGAGAATTTCTTTAATTTTATGTATGAGCATTTATTCAAGCTCTTATTTTTATCGTGTTGTGTATATTATTTAGCTTACCATCGTGCTTGTGTTCCAGCATGTGAACGGTCTCTTCTAATTCTGCTTGATGAACTCGAAGATGATTGAGAGTTTGAGTAAGAACTGTTTTTAGCTCATTGAAGTTCGACCATAGTTCGGTAATGTTGTGCTTCATGCGGTCAAGTTGCTCAACTAAATCTTCATCTGTCATGAAGGCTGCAGATTCTGGTAATTGAACTAAGAGCAATACAAGAAACATAATTACATAATATATTATTGAAGGCATCTTTCATAATTATACTATTTTATACTCTTCGAGGTCACACTCAAGGGGGGAAGACAGGAATAATTAATTGTTCCTAGGCCCCTAGTCTGCTGAGGGCTTTTTCTTAATTAACTAAAAGGCTTCATTCTGCTGTGATCAGCATCTATCTAAGGGGTTCTAATAGACAAACAAATTATCACTATGTCCTGATTTACTGAACTGTTAATTGTGCAGTTAAAGAACGGTCTCACGATTCGTTTACGCAAATTTTCTTTCTCGATTTTCGTGGGGACGTTTCACTTGGGACAGACTGTACCTACTTTTATGGATTTTACATCTTACTACAGAGGTTTTGAAAACTAATATACTTTTAAAACTGTGCATGTCTTTTTTTAAATATGTGAAAAACTTTGTATTTTGTAAACTTAATTTATTTACGAATTTTTTCAATTCAAAGACATACCTAAAAATTTTTTTGCACGCATTGAAGAATTCAAAACATTCCGTTACATTTTCAATAATTTAATATATTAAACTTTTGAATGCGTTATGTTTTGTAAATTTTAGGAAAATGTAACTTGCAGAATTGCGCTTTTCGTTTACCATGAGCTGCATTATTCATTTATTTATTATATTTTTTTTGTTACTATGGAAAGCTCCCACTATGAGAAAGCATCTCAGTAGACTGGTGTGTCTACAAATTAACCTAAGGCTGGTTTTCGAAGACTCAGTCGTAATATGAAATGAAGCTCTATTGCGAATAATATGCTATTCTTAGAGTTGCTGTGAGTTTGAAACTGCTACCTATGACTGATAGGTCAAGTTAAGTCTATCTAAAGCCAGCGCTGTTTACGCTTATTTTGAAAATGGCTCAAAACGTTGATATGGAGAAAAGCTTCAGTTTTGTGAAAATGAAAAGCGTTTGTGGTCTTATCTTTCAATAGTTAAAAACTTACTCAAATACTGCATTACCTGGGCTCATAAAAATTTGAAAAAACTGAGAATAGGGCAGCGATTTTGATAATTTTCATCTAGGTGTAAAAATATCACCAAATCGCCTATTTTTAAAAACGTTTAATAACTTTTTAAATGTTTAAGTTATTTGTCTGCTCTAAAGCCCATATAATTCTTCATGGCAATATTATAGTTACAGTTCAAAATCATTGCATTGCTTCAAGTACAAGGCACTTAAACTATGGCTTTTTTTTTTTTTTTTCCTGGCGACAGAGCTTCGAAAAACAGCGTTAAAAGTAATTGTCAAAATAAAAATCTTACTTTGTTGCGATTGTCCAAGTACATGATTCGCAGCCAAAATGATACCGAAAATCAGGATGGGGAGTTGCATGATTTCAGAGAGTTAGAAAATCAACTGCGAGAAGAAAATTTTGATATTTTATGAACTCGTGTTGTTCTTATAAGGTCAGAGGTCGAATATTAAAAGATAACACATCAATTAACTTTTGGTTCAAAAGTTCACAACATCTAATATCAGATCGTTGAGAATTTACAGTGAATTTTAATATTAAGCCATCTGATATTTCTTATCAACACTATCTTTTCCGAAGAAATTAAAAGTGACATGCAAAAAAGCTGGACTTCGGAATACTTAAAACTTAATGGATCAATTACGTTATTTTTTAAGAGAAATGTTCCAGTTAAAATGAGATAAAATTGAATCGGGTAAATATTTTGTAATCCAACAAAGATTTTGTGCGTGATATTCAAATTGATTCCTGGTATTGTTGATTCTGTAATTTCAGTAATCAATGAATTTAGAAAAACAATGGGACAAAAAAGTTTAAACTAGATTTTCTAACTGGTCTAAAAGGAAATTTAGAAGTAAAAAAGAAACTACGATCCCAAACGGAAAAAAGCAGGTCACATTTTCGGCGGTAATTGAATCGCCATTGTTTTTCTCTTTAAATACGTCTAAATGGAATTTCTTTCAATTCTTTTCACATAATTTTTCAATTTCTTCAGTCGAAATTTTTATGAGCGATTAGAATCAGCAGGCATAGAGCACCAGTTGAAATTTGAGCACTCTAGTTTGTCAAAAAGTGGTCGAAATTAAAATTGGTTATTTCGGTGTTGCGATATTTATCTCTTTGGCGATAATATCATAAAAAGTTCTAAGTTGTCAGAAATCGTTGTAAGCATGAATTGTCATAAGGCACAAGTGCTCTAGTAGTGTCCTAGCAATCCGAAAGAGCTCGAAATTTTGGTTGCAAAATTTAAAGTGAGTTAATAATAACATAGCATTTATCATGATGCACACAACAATTTATGACGAAAGAAAGGTGATAAAAAATTAAGTTATTAAATTCAAACGCTTTTCCAAATTATGATAAAATAGAGATTTCTTAATGTAGTAAACAAAATGATAGCTAGGAGATTAGTGATAGAAAATATTTAATTGCCACAAATATAAGCACTATTAAATAAATTAGGCTTATTGTTCCGTAATCACCTTTCTTAATGTATATATTTTAGAATAGTAATCCACACAAAGTCAAAATATTAGACAGATTTGGGAATTCAAATTAAAATTTAAGTTGAGAAAAAACAAAACGAATTCAAAATCTAACTAATCACTACTGAAGAGAGTGGAACTGAAAACCTCCATCGATTTAGGAGTTGTAGAAAGGAGTTGACAGACAATTATAAAAGCCACTTCTTAATTTTAACGGGTAATCAAACTGGTTTTAAATTTTTCACCACCTTTTAAACACTCAAAAAATATTTTTAAGCACTTTAAAAAAATATGATAATTAGGATATGCGTTCTTAATAATTTTTTTTTCTTTATTGCTGAAAATTCTTCACAAATTGCAAAATAATAACAACAAATGCAAACAAATTGCAAAATAATTTTCAAAGACTTCACATGATCATAATAAAATAAGTAATTTCTGGCTAACTCTTTTCTTGATTAAATTAGCCACCAAAAAACAATTTATACGCAATTTTAAATATATTCAATAATGAATTGCTCATTCTATTTTTAATATTAATAATTACTTTATTTAATTATGTAAAAAAATTAACTCAAAATTATAATTAATTTAAATATTATCTAAAAAGGTTATTGAGTGTGTTTTTAAGATTAAAATAAGTTATTTACAAAAGCATATTCAACAAAACATTATCATATTAATATTATTGATCATACCGAATTTATAAAGATAAGCAAAGAATCAAGCAAACTAAGAAATTCATATTATAAATGTAAATTAGTGAATGGTCCCAAATAAATTTTTATTAAAATTTGTTGATTGGTTCTGTTTTCCTTTAATGAAATGATTAAAAAAATTTAAATAATTTTGAAAGGTAAATACAGAGTATTGAAGCTAAACACTATATAGTCCTTACATTCTTAATATTTAACAGATCTGAGATAATTGAATTTTTTATTTCCATTGTTTTTAAATCAAATCATGAATTATAATTTTGAAATGACAAATCGGAATTACATAGGATTTTTTGCTGCATTTGAAAGATTGAAAATCCCTTACTTCATAATTTTTTAAAATCTTGCCTTTAATTAAGAGCACTGAAAATTTTAAAGTAAATTTTTTTAAAATAATACAATGATAAAAAGTAATATAGCATAATAAAAGTTTTTAAAAAATTATGAAATTAGCGGATGGTCCCTCAGGTAAAGAAAGTTATGTTTAAAAATCTTACTTAATTATTATTTTTATTAAATTAAATGAATAAAAGGGAGATAGAAATTTTGAGGCAATGAAGCTTTGCGATTCTTTACAGCTCTGGGGCCCACATGAAAATATCTAATTAGTGAATTATCCCTAAGTCAAGTTCAAAGATTATGGTACTGGTCCTTAAATAGAATAGCGCAAGAAGGCCTTTTGCTAGACAATGACGAAGTCGAGGGCATTTTACCAACAATGAAATTAATAAAAGAAATAAAATTTTCTTTCGTTATTAGAGAAAAAATTGGCAATGTTTAGTTGGTCCCCGTAATCAGCAAAAATTCAAGAGAATTTTCGGTTCGATTTCAAATGGCGGAAAATGAAGCCTGAAATTGAGAATAACTCGCAAAATGCAGCAGAGTTGCACACGAGAGTGCAAGAATCGTTCCCACTGTATCCAGCTTAGTAAATGCACAAGTGAACTCGCAAGTATTTCATCAAACATGTAAAATGATTGGCTCTTTCATACGCTACGGACCGACGGTACGCCGAAATGGATTCTGGTTGAAAGAATTGTGTTGTTGTTCATTTATGTCGCACTAGAGCTGCTCAATGGGCTATTGGCGACGGTCTGGGAAACATCCCTGAGAATGATCCGAAGACATGCCATCACAATTTTGATCCTCTGCAGAGGGGATGGCACCCCCGCTTTGGTAGCCCGACGACCTGCACGCGAAGTCGAGCACTTTACGGTAGAACAGTTTAACGAGGACCAATACCGCACACCCTCGGTCCCTACGCAGGCTGATCGAAGTGGTCACCCACCCGCACACTGACCGTAGCCAGTGATGCTTGACTTCGGTGATCTGCTGGGAAACGTGTCTTAACGATCAGTCCACTGCAGGAAAGAATTGTGAAAACATTGAATAGAATGTGAAAACTAAGGTTTTTGTATAATTCGTTGTGAAAATCGACATGGTAAAAAAAAAATATATATCACTTTGAAAAAGGAAAAATTAAGCACTTTTTAAAAACACCTTTAAGGGCTTTTAAAAAACGAAAATAAGCACCTTTAAATACTTAAAATTGCTATTTACCCTGGTTTCAGATCAATGAAGCAACAAGTTACGGAAATTAAAGGCAGGCCGTGGCATAAGGCTACCCACATTTACCATAAAACTGTGAAGCCTTGACTTCCGTGACTCCCCAGGCTAACAGCAGATTGTTCTACGAATGCTATACTTATCCTAAGTTACTCATAACAGAGTACACAACTTCACAATTAGGGAATGCGTTTCCTTAGATGGTTAGATGTTATTTGCTCATCTGACATCGATTTCTAAATAAGTGAGGCCCTGTTTCTGACGTTTTCTTTATGCTGAATAGAATTAGACTATACATGACCAGTCAATAAAATAGCTCAAAAGTTACAAGAGTTTTTCATACAAAAAGTACTCTTGAAATGTTACTTATGTATACTTTCTACACTGCTATATAAAAGCTATCTGAACATATAAGACATATTTTCTGATGTAATATTTCCTTCTTAATTGAATGATACAAAACAGTAACCTATAATCCAAATGGTTAAAAAGTTATAAGAGTTTTGTTTGATATTTTTTTTCAATTTTGTATTAGCACTTATTATGCATTCTATAAAAAGAAGCAATACAGAAAGTGAGGCATTACTTCATAAGTGTGGTTTTTGGTTTAATAGAACATGACATGACTAAACACAAATCAAAAAGACAAATACTTCAAAAGTTGCAATAGGTATTTTTTTTATAAAATGTGCTATTTTTTAATTGTATATATTATAAAGAAAATGTTCAAAACTTAAAATCTATTTTATTGACTCGAATTTCCTCTCAGTCAATTCAGCATGAAAAATTATATTAGAAAATATATTCAGATAGTTCCTAAATAGAAAAGTAAAAAGTGTATATAAGTACATGTCAAAAGTAGTACTCTTTACACATATAAATTCTTATTACTTTTGAACGATTTGTTTCATCGACTTTTATAAAGCTTCATTTGATTCAACATAAAAAAAAATACATAGTGCCTCACTAATTTAAATATTAATATCAAATGCATAAATAGGCACAAGTACAAACTTGTATTTTGGTAAATAATACCCTTATAACTTCTAAACTATTAGACTGATCATCTTGGGCTCGGTTTTTATTCAAGTCAGTGTGAGAAAATAAACCTGCACTTGCTTGTATTAAAGAAATTCAATTCTACTCTCAAATCACTCCCATTTCCTTCAAAATACAGAGAGTAGGATAGTTTATAAGTATCATTTTTTATGACATAATAAATCTTTCTGTTAGAAAATAACTAAGTTATTTAATTTTTCAAAGAAATATCCATTTTTTTTTGCTATAATTTCTGGACTACAAATAAAGATATAGCAACTTTTTTTTGTGCGGTGAACTGCAAAATTTTTGAGCAAAATATTGATATATGTATCTACTTATTTCAAACTAATTTGCAAAAATTACCAAGTATTCAAAAAAATTTTATTTATAAGTTAAAAATTTTTTCCCAACATGTATATAAAACTTATCTTATAATACATTTAAAAGAGAAGTATAATCGTCAAATTCAAAGCAGCAATAGGCAAATAATACACATTATGGCAGTAATTTTCTTTGCAATATGTAACAAATACAGGGTGGCCACCCACCTGGAAAACCTTGAAAACCTGGAATTATCAGGGAGTTTTTTTATACTGGAAAAAACCTGGAAATATCAGGGAAATTTGGATAAAAACCTGGAAAAATCAGGGAATTTTAAAGAAAAGCTGGAAATTTTTTCTTTGATAATTTTTTTTAATTTCACTAATTTAAATTATTTACTAATTTTCTTAATTTAAATTATTTCATCCATTATATCCACTTTTTTTAAACGGAAATGTATCGCCGAACAGTTGAAATATCATCAACTTAGCGATACTTTACTTTCATCAAAATTTGCTCCATTACAGCTCTGTTAAACTAGAATGCCACATAAAATTCTCCCACAGTTGCTAAGCGAATATAGAAACCTTTGACTGCTATGGGACTGTGCAATTTAGGAAAGATTCTGGTGGAGGTGGAAAAAGGGATTAGGATATTACCTTCTGTTTTTAAATTCTGTCCTGGGGCTGAATCCATTTATGGCTCAAGTTTGTTCCGATGCTTTAGTGGTAATTTTTTTTTCTATTTTGACAAAATGTTTTTGTATTTTTAACTTTATAAAATTCTCCAAAAATTAGTTGGTTATAATTTAATAATAATAGATTTCATATTGCACTCTTTTTCTGAAAGTTTTTCTGCTCCCATTCAAGGAAATCTATAAATTAATTTTTCTCAGCAAACCAACCAGTCACATTTTTTTACAATCGCTAATGTTTGTCGACAAATCTTTACAATTGTTGCATTAATAATTCTTGATTCAAAATTTTGTACCAAAAAATTAAAAATTAAATAAAAAATCTTGCCAAATTGTCAAAAAAAATTATTTTTTTCAAGATGATATGTTAAAAAAAATAACATTTTGAATAAAATATTTTATAATACCGACTCTTTATGAAAAAAAACGAAACAGAAACCTGGAAATTTTAAGATTTTTATCTGGAAAACCTGGAAAAATCAGGGAAATTTGAAATCTGATTTGAGTGGCCACCCTGAAATATAATTTACAATAAATGAATGCAAATTTAAAAATATCATAAATCTTTACATTTGTATGCTTTAAAAATATAAAAATTATGTAAAAATACTGTACTACTAAACAAACAAAAAGTTTAAGAAACTCTTCAAATATCTCATATGTTAAAAAAAATTGCACATTTCATGCACATTAAAATCAATTATAAATGTATCACAGAAAATGTATTCTTCCATAAAGTCATTATTCTTTTTCAACTTTTATTATAAGTTTTCCCAGTCAATATCACTGCTAGATGATAAAACAGGACTTATGGCTTTCGGAATCAAAAATTTCTCTTTGGTTTTAGAGGGTCTTCGACGAGAGAGGACGGACTTCTTTTTAGAAAAGTTTTTATCAATTTCTTTAACTTCTGAAGGCACATTAACTTCTTTTCTATAAACAGCCTACAAAAAATAATGCACTAATCAGTATCAATGTATGCACATAAAATATATACACACAAATTGATTTAAGAGTTCAAGTTATCAGGATCAGAGCCAGAAATCAAATATCATAGGACTTGAATAAATCAGTAGTTTCAAATATAAAAAATAAGCTTAAAATATATAAATTCAATAAATACAAAAGCATTTTGCTTGCATTAACAACGTTTCCTTCACTTTTGAATCAGTCGATAACTTCCCAATACTCAAAATCATTTACAAATGCCTCGACTAGAATTTACAAATGGATGTATCTCACAGTTAATTTTTTTTTCATTATTTTTTATTAGTATAAAGTATTGATGAACCAGTTTTATATGGATTGTGGGATGTATATTGAATCATTTTCAATAAAGATGCAAAATATTAAAAATTTTAAAGAGCTTTTGAAAGAATTTTGTATTCTGGAAATTTTTGACAAATTAATAATAATAAAAATTATCGAGAAATAACATTTTATTATTTACAATGCTTTTGGCAATTTTAAGCTGCTTGTAATCTGCTCATAAATCTAAATTCAAAATTTTCCTTATGCCAAACATCTGGAAAAACAAATAAACAACATCACAATTATTAGAGTCATTTCAAGGCAAAAATCATAAAAAATTAACATAATTTAACTTGTATGTGAATATCAAAACAATATATAATTTTCTAGATTCAATATTCCATAAAAAATAATTTACTTTCAATAAAAATGTAAAAATGAAAAAGAAATATTTTCATGAAATAAAAAAAATTATTTACTATTAGACTGCCAATTATAATTATGTAATTGTATACAACTAATATATCTTTAACATTCATAAGTTTGCATTAATCTTGCATATCTATGCTTAAATATATAGCGTAATGAAAGTAACACTATAATATGACTAGAAACATGACTTCAAGCTTTCAAAAATTATTGAATTAAATAATAGAAATAGAAATAATTAAATAAATATAGTGGCATTTGATTAAGTTAAGAACTAATATTTTTTTTCTATAATATATGACAATGACATTTTAGCATGAAAGAAGTTTAAAATGAATTACATGAAGCAAAAAATTACTAAATGTTCACTTATAGGTTAGGGATATACATACTCTGAACTTAGCATAAAGACTAATATTTTCTCTCTCTATAATACGACAGTTAAAAATATTTTGTATTGATTTGTTTATCATTTATAAATCAACAAAACCTAAGTTTTAAATAATTAATTTTTTCCAGTTCATATATAAACTCTTAAATTATGGAAAAATTAAAAACAGACACTTGATAATATAAATCTGATAAATCCCTACATTCAAATTTTACTTTAGGCTGAGCGTTAACAGCTTTTGCTTTCCTCAATGAAATAGATACCCCACAAAAACAAATTGAAAATTTGTAAGCTACAAATCGTTTGTGGTTGCCCCCTTTTACACGGTGGACGCTAGAGGACGGGTATTTGGACGGCTAGAGGACCACTCGTCCAGTCAGCAGAGCGGGAGATAAGGAGTGATAGATTTATGAGGAATTAGAATCCAGAACGCCTTATCTTAACAATTTGTTCTCATGGAATGTAACATTTCTTTCAATTTGTTTTTGTGGGATATCTATTACATTGAGGGACGAAAAAAGCTGTTTGCGCTCAGCCTAATTGTTCAGTTATAGTCAAATTTTACTTCACTCCATGAAACCTCAAAATGTCAAAGAGTAGCAGCGTTTACACAGCAGTTTTCACTCTATTTAACAATGTAAAAACTAGTACATAAAAGTGAGAGAAATATAAATAAAATATGACAGCAACAGCAAAATAAAAGAATCTGTTAATTTAATATTATTCATCTCCTTTTCCTTCCTCAAACAAATGGTAATCTAAAAACCAGAAGTTAAGATAATTGAAGTTTTTTTGAAACATTATTTTATAGTAATAAAAGTTAATAAAAAACAAATCACAGCACAACCTATTTTCAAATATGATATAAAACTGAAAGTTTAAACAAAAAATTAAATGGAAAATTGAACATGAAATTCTGTAGTTTAAAAAAATTTTTAATCTACACAATTTGAAGCTATAATTGTCAACTGTCACAAAATAGGAGACTGTTAAACAACAAAAATTGTACTGAAACTTTACTCCAGTTCCACAATTTCTAAAATTTAAATTAATAGAAATTATGTGAAAAAATCTACAGTAACCAACATATTTTTGACATGCTTCTTAATGTTTTGCAGTTTCTATAGTGAAAACCAGTGTTTACTTTCAGCAAAAAGCTAATAAATCAAACTTAACTTATAAGATATTATATCAGATAAATCATTGCATGCAACACTTATTACATTCTTGATCAATTAGTAATAGTAATAAAATTGTACATTGATAAATTACAATCCCTTTAATTACAACTTTTCTTAAGTTTATAAAAATATATAATATGAATGCAGTTATTAAATTGATTATCAATCCATAACATGACCTATGATCTTCTTAATTTTAGATTTCTTGATTGAATTATTATAACATTGAAGTTTCTATAATGTTTCATTGGTCACAAATCGATATTAATATAATGTAAATATAATACATCAATATTCTAACTGCTTTTACCTAATTCTTTTCCTTAATGAAAAAAATAATAATAATGTAATAATACAAAAAAATATAAATGCAAAAAAAAATACTGTGGTGTATTGATTCCAGTCAAATGACAGACATTAAAATAAATTTTAAGTTAACTTTTTTATAAAATAAAAATTATGAACAGAGTTTAAAAAAAATTATAAATTTATAAAAAAATTATAAACTGGTTATTCTAAACTATAGTATAAAAAAATAATTATAAAAATAAATAGGCAGTGATTAATGAATTATAAAAAAAGAATCTATGTAATGCTTGTCCAAAAACTCTTACAAAATAAAAATAATAAAGAGCAATGCGAATAAGCTTGAAATGGTCATACTAAACCATATTTAACAGTGCTGATTTTTTAAATTAAACTAGACAATAGTGATTACTGAATGCGTTAAAACAAAAGATCGAAATAAACATTTATGTAATACTTGTTGAGAAATTTTCTAATGAAATAAAAATAATAAATATACAGATGCAAACAAGGTTTCATTAGTTATTCTATACCATACTTAACAGTATAGGCTCTGATTTTATAAAAATAAATTTTTATAAAAATATCTTAAATAAATATATAGAAATAAAAATGTATACAATACATGTTCAGAGAAAGATCGGAAATCGGTATTTTTAATATCTGCAAGCATTTTTCCAGGTATCATTTGTGAAGATACAGGCTGCTTCAAAAGACTTCCTGGTTCAGTAGTTACTAACTTTATATAATCCCCAACACGTTTCTGTAATTCTGCAAATTCATTTCTGACTTGGAAATGAACTTCAGCAGGGACAGATTTTCTAAAAAGAATCAAATTTCATTTTGACTTGCTCATATAATATTTGGACAGAATTGTAATACTGGTAAGGAAAAAAAAAGCAACTACACAAATAATGTAAAGAGCAATTCTTAATTGTAACTCACTCTATTAATTCTTTTTGAGTGTGCAACTTTTCTTTCTGAACATCAAGTTTTTCTTTCAGCTTAGAAACTTGAGTAGTGTATTGCTTCAGTTTCTAAAAAGCAAATAATGTAGATACTGTATTAAGCATGCATACAAAATAGGGTGTACCAAAAAAAAAAAACTTTTTTTCTGAGTTTTAAGCTGAGAAAAAGTTGTCACAGTAGATAACTGGGTTGATAACAGAAACTTTTAATTTTTTTTAAAAGAATGAAACAAATTTTAGATTTTAAGTTCAATAATATAGAGTAGTAGTAATAAAGAATATGTATGAAATGTAACATTTAGTTCTCCCAGAATCTACATAAAAATCTAATTTAAAGATAGAGCTGAAAATTGAAAATATGCATATTTGTTAATAAAAATTAGGATTTTTTGCAGATTATGAGACCAAAATGTTACATTTAGTTGCATAGATTTTAATTGTTACTTTATCTTTAGAGCTTAAAATTTTAAAACTTAAAATCTAAAATTTTCTGATATCTTAAAAAAAAAAGTTTAAAATTTACCTGTTTTATCAATAAATATTAAACCTTAGGCCTATACAGAAAACAAAATGTTTTTCAATTTGTTTAATTTTTTTTCTCGATAAAATATGTAATCATAGAAATAACTTTTTATCTACATGAAATTGCGTATTTTGAAAAAAAGTCAATTTGAGATACACCTTGATACATAGTCATAACAGGAGAAGGAATGGTATTCTCTTCATACAGCAAAAAGTATTGCCATTTTTCCATCTTCCTTGCTTTTTGTTAAAAAAATTTGTTCCACCATATCGCCAAACTTGGCCTCATGCGACAACTACTTTTAATAATATTAATGTTATCTTTACAAAATAGAAACATATTAATATTATAGACACTAACTAATACCTGAGTGACTAGAATACTAAACTCAATACATGATAAAGCCAAATTAGCAATTTTTTATCAAATTAAAACTACTATAACTTATTTTGCAACAAATAAAATATAAACTATTTGAAGGAATATTTTTTTAGCATTTATACCTTGAATCTCATTATTCATTGCAAATTTAGAGTACATACCTTTGTTGATTTATTGGTATTGATTAAAAGGATAAGCTAGTAGCAGATTTTTTAAACAGAAACAGAATAAACAAGTTTTCTATTCTTACTTTTGTATTGAAAAAAAAAAAAACATTCATTCTACGCAAAAGTAGCTTAAACACCAAATTACAAAAGCACAATGCACTTTTTAAATACCATTTATTTGCTAGATATTATTAACTTTCTAATATTACTTTATATTATTAATAAACTTTCGTCCAAAAACATTTTCCTGTTATTCGTTTAAAAAAACTTTTCTAATCTGAGATTTTTAATCATTTTGAAAGTATTTCAGAAAATAAATAAATATAAAATTTTAAGAATTATAATGAGATTTTTTTTTATTTTTAAAAAAAACATTAGTTCAGATTTGCTCTAGACATTTTTTGAATTAAGTATTTAAAATGAAAGTTCAGCTGCAAGTAAGATCTTAATAAAATTAAATTTTTCTAATTAAAATTCAATAATTACACTCTAATGCAGTGTTTCTCAACCTTTTTGGCACAATGGACCACTTTAAAAATTTTAAATATGTCACGGACCCCTCCGTGAGAAAAACATTGCTTAAACATCATTTATTACAAAATANGTATATAAAAATAATTTTTCGCCATAGCAAACTATTTACTCAAAGAATAAAAATATTGAGAAAAAATATCAACATTACTGTTTATTTTTTAATAAATAATAAAGAATGTGCATAAGAATTTCTTTCCATTTTATATAAGTTAATTTTTGTTCTTTAGCTTTAGTGAAACAAAAACTTCCAGCTTGTAACGATGATGGACTGATATTTTTCAATTGACTAGATTTATGAAAATACTGATTTCTTTTAATGCAATTACGAATTATAAAATCATCCATCCCTTATCAAAATCACAGAGCGCGCTAAGGATGAAGAAGGTCCGGGTTATCACTGCTGGCTAAATATTGATGCAAACATTTTAAAAATTAGGATCAGTCGGCGGACCCCCAAAATATGACCCATGGACCCCCAAGGGGTCCATGAACCACTGGTTAAGAAACACTGCTCTAATGCATCATTAACAATGTATTTTCATTTTTAAAAATATGTATTTATTGTTAACAGTATTGACTAGTGATTATTTTCAAATTTAAAACTTATCCACACAGGGAAAAAAATCAAAACAAAAGAAAACCCTTCATTATAATATAAATATGCAGATAGTATAAAACCACATTTAAAAAAATTTTTTTTTCACTTTTATTATTTTCGAAATTGGCTGATCATCTTTTTAAAATATAACATAAAAAAGCTATTGTTTCTAAAAGTTAAAAGGTATATAAAAGAATTTAACTAATTAAACTTATAATAAAAAACAAGAAATAAACTATGAGCAAAAATAATAATTTCTGTAAAATAAAAAATATATCTAACAGGAAATTAAGTGATTAAATTTATAATAAAATAGGCAAGAGAAACATTCATACAAATTCAAGTTCTCTCTTCTCAGCAACTGAATTGCTTCTGCATTCTCTTAACTGTGATTCTAACTCTTCCAGACGCTGCTGAAAATGCAACTTTTGCTGTTCCCACGTCAATTTCATTTGTAAAATCTCATGATCTTTCTCCATTTGATTCTGAAACAATGGTACCATTTTGGAAACAATTCTTAAAGAATACAACTATATATATCATACTTTTAATATTTTTATCTTCATAAAAAGAGGAGCTAAACTGCAATTAAAAAAAGTCCTTCAACACTTTTTCATCAAGGAAAATAATAAAGCCACAATTTGAGAGAATTGAAGTACAATTTTAAATTATACATATTATCACGCTGAAAATTGTTGTTTGGACTTTTAAACGGACTAATAGACTAAAGTTTATTGAAAAAATACTAACTTTTAAAAAGAAAGAAAAAAAAAAGGCAATTTTTGAGACTTTTCACCAAGAAATATAGAGTAATTTTCAATTTCGCATGGTCTTTGGGCCCAAAGAATGAAGAAGTGAAGTTTTCTTTTCTTCAAACATTTAAAAACTGCTTTACAAAGAATTTTCTTTTTTACAAAACTGTAGCTTTTCTTCAAATATATCAAGTCACACAGTTAGTTATTACCAAATCTACATAAGAAATAATATCTTTAACATGAGGAATTGTACTCAGATTTTTCTAGCAAAAAAAGATGATAAATACATGAATGAAAACTCAATACCTCATGCTAAGCAAGATTTCTAAATTGTTGTATTAACAATTTATTATTTAATAAATGTTAAAGTATATGCAGTCACACACTTACTTTGACAATTATTATAATTACACTGTTTAGCAGTCAGCCAATTTAACAAACAAACATGATTACGTAAAAACAATTTAATTTATAAATTTTTATTTAGTTACAGTCCTCTCATCTAAATAAAGGCGTGAATTTTTTACTCATTTTCAGACTTCATCAGAACTTTCCTAAGTTCTCAAATTACCAGTATTTTGAGGAAAATAGGTTAAGAATCTTTGCTTCAATTTTAATTTCAAACTCAATTCAGGATAAGAAGTAGTTACTTTTTTTCGCAATACAATTGTATTTTCTTCAAGTATTTTAATAAAGAAATAAAATTTAATCGGTTTTTTATTTTTACAAATTATCAAACAATATTAAAAAATTAATGTTTGAAACATGCAAGTGTAGGTTATGAGGCAAAAATCAAGCACAATTGAAATAACTAGTTTACATACATTTCTCATATTTGATGCTTGATTCAATGAGTCTTTAGATTCCTCTTGTTTCTGGAAATTCGCAGCAAGAGATTGGAACTTATTTTTCAGTTCTTGTATTTCTTTTTGAATTTGTAGACTCTCTTGGGGAACTGTGCTATTTTGAATTCCAATATTCTGCTGCTGTTTTCCAACTTGTCCTCTAAAAATTAATAGGCAATATGCATGATTTTCAAAGTCATTTTAAAATGAAAGAGCACATGAAACTAAATGGGGGATAAAATGCTAATTAAACTGTTATTAAATTTATCTTCATTGAAGTGTTTTTTAAATTGCTATGACATAATAACAAACAAAAACGGGCAGCCTCTAATATTTATTGTTTGGTACACTACTCAACTCTTTAATCAGCACCCAATTGTGTTTCACGTCACTTTTGGTGATTTCACTTAGTTTTAACAATAGCAGATAGGAAACACTTCAGTATAGTAGTTATAAGCATTTTATTGAGATTTGTTTAAATTTTAAATTTAACAAGAATATAAATAGACTTGTTTCTTCATGCAGAAATATTTTTTGACATGTCTAGAGTTGTAAATTTGGGAAACAGTAGAGACAAAAATTTTTTTTAAAAAAAAATCCTGTTTAGATTGCTGATTGATAAATTAAAAATTTCGATAATTATATCATCCAGATATATATAACTTAAAAACTCCAGTACATGCTAATAGAAATAACAAGCTTTATAAATCATGTATATATAAACACCCATAGCAGAATGCTTGGCAATGTTCTGCAACAAGCATATAAATATTATAATAGTGAAAAAGCTCAGCCGATTAAGTGCATTTTATCTCTGAGTAAGCTTACATAACTGTTCTTTATTAATTTTTATAATTTTAAAACTAATAGATCACCAAAAATTGCTGATGGGTAGAAATCGGTTTTCACATTTGATAATCAGCTTGAACTAATAAAACATACACTCAGAAATTGATATTATGCCCAAATTTCAATGAAATGACACATCTTATTTAAAAAAAAAAAAAATACCTTTTATCAATGACAATTATTTATTCAGAATATCCTTGTCAACAATAATTGATTCTGTTTTTTTAATTAAATTCTTTTTCTTGCAATATATTGACATTATTTCCATTGCTGATACCAAAGTCAATATTGGGAGAAGGATTATCGTCATTAATTCTCTGTATGTTTGTGGGCATCGTATCCAACTTAATCACTGACAAGTAATTTTTATTCAAACTTAATTAACATAAGATACTTTTTTCATTTATTGATTAATGCCTAACAGGTTTATTGCAATGAAAAGGTTTGCAAAGACTTTTCCAATTTTTAAAAATAATATGCATCTAGCATTGAAACCAAGATACTTTCTTACGAACAGAAATTTCTAAAATACTCCACGCTCACAGATGTTTAAGTTTTCAGTTTTCCTTTCACATACTCATACACTGACATTACAATGTATCACTAGATCTTGACAACACTGGCTGATCTGGAAGCTTGCCTCGGCAAAATAAACGCTGGCTCAGAAAGTACTTTTTTAAATAAAAAAATAATATTTTGCAAGAAACAATATTTTTAATAAAAGAAATACTTTACAATTAATAAAAGAAAATACTTTTTGGGAAATTTTTCTTTTTAAAATTCCTTATTGTTCAGTGGAAAAGAAGATTGTTCTACAGCAGCATTTACAGCACATTTTAACATATTCTGTTGTGGGAAATTTATATATAAGTCTATAAAATGGACATTTGTATATGAATAATAAAAAAAACACTGAAATTAAACATTTTCAATTAACAAGAAATTAAACAAGATAGTGATATTCAAAATGTCCTCAGAGTTTAAATATGCGAGCTGATAAGCAAACTTTACAAAATTATGGAATTCAATGAAATTTTGATTTGAAATATATTTTGTTCTTGTAATAGTTCCCCCCTCTTATTTAATTTACCTCATTGCAGTGATCTCTTTTTCAAGCTCAATTTTCAACACACTACATGCATGCAATTGTTGCTGCAAATTTTGTATTTCACGGCCAAGACTTTCTATGTGGCTGCCTTTGCTGACTTCTAGTTCCTTAATTTTTCGTTCTAGCATTTCCCTAAAATAAGCACAATCAAATAAATATATCTAAAATGCTTAATTAAGTTATGAAATTTTTTTATAAAAACCCCAACTAAAAATTATGTACCTTTCCTGTTCTTTTTCATTTGATAGCTTCCAGTATTGTTGCCTAGAGGTTATTAAATCTTTTTTAAAATCTTGTTCCTTTGAAAACATGATTTGTCGTTCCTGAGATAAACTTTCATCAAGATTTGTGTTTTCTTTTCGTAACCCTATTCAGAAAAAAAGTTGCAAAAATAAAATACTGTGTGCAAGTTTTGTGATACATTTCTGAAAAACAAAGCTATGTAGCAATATATTATTTCACATCAAACAAAATTATTTGCGAAAAAAATCCAAAACAAGCATTATAAATCACACATATATCAGCTGATATATTATCAAGTGTTATTACATTCAATTCATCAATGGCAGTAAAATTTTTAGATTTTACTAAACTTACTAACCAGTGTTTAAAAACATGTCTAAAACATAAAATTACTTGTAATTTCCTCAATTAGCTGCTCATGTTCAGATTCATATTGGGATTTAAAATGCAGCAGTTCAGCCTGAAGGTTTGCTTGGATAACCTTGGAATTGAGTTCAATTTCTTCAATCCTTGTTTGCAATGATAGTATTTCCTGCTTACTCTTCTGAAGTTCAACATTCAAAGCTTTTCGATGCTCTTGAGAATTTGATAACTCCCTTCCACAAACTTCTAACTGTCTCATTGCCTTTACTTTTTCAGCCTGAAATGAGAAAAAATTTATTTTGACAATAAAGAAAGATTATTAGCAAAAATGTGTATATATAAAAAAAGAAATTTATTATCAAAAACATCCTCCTTTTCCCATTTTCTGTGAATGTCTTTAAAGATGGTGAAACAGAATAAGGTTTTTGATAGTTTATTCCCAGAAATGATTGCATAACATAGCATAACACAATCCAAGGTAAGCAGACACAAAGTAAAAATTTAATTACGTACATTATGACATAGTATCAATCTTAAAAATTGAATTAAAGGGGAAAATGATACCTAATCAGTTGATAGAATTATCTGATGGGAAGAAAAAACAAAGTGCTATTTAAAAAGTTAGTGACACAGTAAATGATTACTAATCGGATTTAGTGTAACTAATTGAATGAGAACAGGTTTTGTTTAACATTTATTTAATAATTACATTTATAATTTATAAAAGCGTTCTACAAATCTTAAGTATAGAAAAAATAACAGATATTTTAAATAAAAATTAATATTTATTATGTCACAGTTTTTTATTCCTAAAAATACTATGGTACAAAATTTTCAAATGGTATATAACAATAAATTTGTTGTTTTAGCATACCTCTAATATTCTTAAGTTATTAGTATTATCAGCTGTTTGTTTTGAATTTGACCTTGTAAGAGCACTAATTTGAAGAGTAAGATTTTCATTTTGAGCTCTTAAATCATCACATTCGGAGTGGAAACCTTTAATTTTTTGATTTAAATCTAAAATTTCTCTCTTAGCAGACTTTAGATCAACAGCATAGGAATCTGTTGGTGTCGATTTTTCTCTCTCTAAATTCTTTATTTTGTTTTGCAATCGTTCTACCTGGAATGTAAAACAAAAAGTGTTTATTTACAAAAAATACATAAAATCAATATTCAACCTTTTACACATATTTTTAAATAATAATACTAACTAATAGTGTTTTTTCAAAAGTTTTTAATACAAATTTAAAATATTTTCTTAAGAGATAAAATTATTGCCAAGTCAAATTTCAGCATTAGACAGCTAGAACTCTAACGGCACCTTTTTTAGAGTATTCTTTAAATTGATTTCACTTTCAGTTGACGTTATAAAAAATGTCACAACACAACTTCATGTTTCAACACATTTCAAGCATTGTATTCATTTATTTACTTTTGCATATATTGAAAATTAAACTGTTATTAAGCTTAAAAACTTTTAGGTGATGAGAGCAAAGTTTAAATTTTACTTTCATATAAATTTAAAATTAGCTCATATTTCATAAATGACATTGAATATTTGTTCATTAAAATAAATTGAACTTGATATTTGGAATATTAAAATTATTACAAAAATCAAATTAAAATACTTGCAACACAATCAGGTTTATAACAGTTATCTCTAACAGTCATCTTGTTTCCTTGATACACAAGCACATTAAGAAATTTTTTTTCCTGGAACTTTCCATCTGAATTAGACTACTTTTGTTCAAATTCATTCGAAGGTATATCTGCATGACTAGATTAATCACTCTACGTTTCAAATATTTTAGAAAATCTAGGTAAAGCAATTAGTTAAAATAACAAACCTTATCAAGGTTAATTACCACTTATGTTCAAAATATTTTTTTCTTTCTCCAATGCCAGTCTGGGGAATGACCTACGTCATACAGGCATCTGAAGGGCAGGTTTGTCGGCCACTCTTTTATGGGCACCATATTAGGTGGGCCAGCGTTGCTCCCACAGTAAGGACAGATAGTACTGAGAAGGAAAGAACATCCATGCTTTGCCCGGGATTCGAACCCTGAACCTTTCTGATGCAAGGGCAGTTCCCTAACCCCTACACAGGCCGGTCGGCTTATGTTCAAAATATACATTTCTATAAAAAGTTTAAATTGACTAAATTTGTAATAACCAGTTTTCTTTGTGTTGTCTACATTTCAAAAAAAAAAAACTTTTATAAACTAAAATATCCCATGAATGATGATGTTTACAGAACTTAAAAAAAAAAGAATATTGTATATTTTGATACATACATTAATAAATTTAATAAACTTATAATAACTATATTTATAACAAAAAACACAAGCATGCACAAGAAATGAAGTTACATTGCATGTAATGACCTTTTTCATAAATTATAGCCAGTATACATAATTATAGTGATAAGTTTAACTTTCATTACATTTGAACATTATTACACAGTTTATTTCAAAATTCAAGTAATTTAGGTAAAAATCTAACAAAAAAACTTTAATGTTTCCAGAAAAAAATTTGTTATGACCCAAGAATTTTATTAAAATCTGATAAAAGCATATCTTAAATGAAAAAGCTCAGTGGGCTGGCTTTTTTTGAATAACTCCAAGTTTTTTTAAATCTGTGTTTTGAAGAAAATAAGTTATTAAAAGAAAAAAGTACTTCAAAGTAATTTTAAAAAAACATAATCTTAGCACAATAATTAAAAATTATTGTAACAAATATATTGATTCTTGTACACAATATTAGTTTTTTAAAAGATTTTTACAATTTTATACCCAGAGAGAAACAATTATTAACACTTTTTATTGCTTCATAAATGTTAAAAAAGAAAAGTTAATTATTTAACCGACATGTAGCAACTACAAATTAACATTCAAAACATTGGAGGGAAAAAAAAATAATGATTCATTTTTAGATATTTATAGTCAAACTGGCCATGTAAAAATGGATTTTTGCATATTAGAGTCAAAAAACTAAAATTAATTGGGATTCATTGAGGAATAAAAGTTATTGAAACCTAAACCATTTAATCATAAATGATATATAGCCAAAAACAAAAAACAAGTTTTAATGAAAAACATATAATAAATACAAACAATTTTGTAAAAAAAAAAAAAAAAAAAAAATTTAAATACAGGAAATATTACAAAATAAAAAAAGAAAAAATGCATTTGAGCAACCCAAGTAATTATTTATGATTTGTTTCCTAACAATTCATTTCCTTTTGTCAGCAGCTCTAAATAAATAACGTAAGTAATTTATTTAGAGATTTATAATTACTGAACACATTAAAGTATATTTATGAACAATAGAAAAAGACATTAAATTATTAGAAACAATTAAATACATTAAGGAAAATACTTACTTCAATTAAATGTTCTAATTGAATTTTTTCAACAGTACGAGAGAATTCAATGTCTCGAGAATCAAATTTAGATTTTAAAATTGCATTTTCATAATGCAAGTTGTTATACTGATCTCGTAGTCTATCTGCATTAGTGTCTAATTCTCTTATTTTAGATTCATAATCATTCCTAGCTTCTTCCAAAACTGCATCTCGAATCTTTCTGGGATCAAATTGCTGATTCTGCAAAGGAGAGATGATTTTTCATCACAAAGATAGCAAAAAATCCATTATAGAAGAAACAATAACATATTAAAAATGAAATATGCATTCTGCAAATAATTTAATTCCAATTCATTAAAAATAAAGTCATGTAGTAGAAATTAAAATTTGGTGTATAGATGAATAAAATAAAATTCTTTGTCATAATTCAAATTGATTTACATTGTACTTGTATTTATTGATGAAATATCTTTCTATCAAATGTATTTAAGTACATTAATTTCATTTTATATAATCATAAATAGTTATAAAAAACTTCAAGGGGTATAACAGATTATTGTTCTGCTTGTAACATAGCATTGCTCTAATATACCATTTTTATTGTAGCACTTAATAAATCTGCTTTAATAATTTGTCAAGAAACATAATTTTTAAGACACCTTTAAAACTACGTGGAGCATCCAATATTTTTGAACCAAAAAAATAAATCAATACTTTCTCATAGACAACTCTTTCTGAAATGCAACTGTAGATTTTGGGACTAGAGTCAGGATCACGCTTAAAGGGCGACAAAATTGAAAATAAAATTGGAACTATTTTCAGTATGTAATCTTTCTTAATTTTATAAAACAAAAATTTCTGCAGTAGTATTGTATATTTATAATTGTATAACTTTTTCTTTTAAAATTTGAAAGTGAGTCATAACACGAAATTTGAAAGTTAAATTAATCTGTTTTGCTTTGCCCAAGGACACTAAACCCCTAGACATGTCTTTAGATACATTGTTAACTCTCTTTTTAAATTTTACTTAGTAATGGGTATTACAACTCCTAAATATGAAGTTTGAAATTTTTTCGCTATTTCTTCACAGTACTTTAGTATATAGATATAGTTTAATTTAACTAATAAGTAAGATCATTTAAACACACAAGACTGACATTATATGGGACGCCGGCCAGGTGACTGAGCGGTCAGCGTGCCTGACTGTGAAGCCAATGGTTGCGGGTTCGAATCCCGCTCAGGGCATGGATGTTTCTCTCTGTGTGTGTTCTCTGTTGTGTGATGTGCGAATGTGGCCCACCCTATAAACGGGTGTGTGGCAGTGTGGCGTGGGTAATGTTGCTCGCCTCCGTGACTTAGGTTCACAGGTGCCCACTGAGTAACGTTAAATGAGTAACAACTCCGGCATCTTCCTAGGCGAAGAACGCAAGTTCAGTGCCTGCCGTTAAAAAAAAAAT